AAAATCTATTTGTGTAAGGGCCTAACTAAAGCCAGGCTACATAATTATCTTTACCCTACTTTTGGTCTGTTGAAGTTAACACAATTTAACCAAAAGTAGATGTAACCCAGAAGCTAGAACCTTAATGAGGTATTAACTAATTGGCTTACTAATATGATCCATCCTCAATTTAGATAAAATATAAATTAAGGAAATTAAAAATACTAATTAATAGATATCTAAATAACTAATAGATAATAATTTCATAATGAATTATTGGAAGGGTGAATAACTCACAGCTGAAGTCAAACAGGTGGGAGGTACTCCCTGCTGGGACTAACTCTGTTATGCCTTTTTTACCTTACCCCATTTTCTTCTTCCGGCTCTCAGAGAGTACAGACGCTTTTGCTTCAGCTCCCTTATCTGCTTCTCCCAAGGCTCTTGTCCTGTCTGCCTACAGAGCACTCTGCATTTCTCCTGAAAATCACTACTTCTTTTTGGAAATGGACTTAATTAACTGGTCATTCAACGCGATTGATAAGATTTTTTCTACGATGAGAACGGAGAAGGGGGCTCCCACCTGTCCCGAAGGGACATACGCAGCGGGATAGGCACTCGATTCTTGGGAGGTCTGGCGAATCGTGTGTCTCTCTCAGTTGTCCATCGAGGACGTGGACGATTTGTGGATATTCGGCCTGATGATCACTGGATTTCTTCTGATTGGAGTGGGAGGATATCTGGTTTTCTGGAAATCTGGGAAGACGGGAGCGATTGGAGTGCGACCCGTACCCACGGATTGTGCCGCCCGTGCGGAGACCTCACAGACTGGGACGTTACTCGAGGTGAACCGTAAGCTGGACAGTGTCCTCGCAGCGTTGCCTGTGTTAGTGCGCAAGATGGATGTCATCTCGGAGAGGGTCGCCGGACGGTGTGGGGATGTTTAGAACGTATAATTGGCTTCACTGGTGGACATGAATGGTTACTTAATAGACTCCAAGGCAGAGAGGAAATTATCTCTGTCTGCCCTGTTAACAAAGACAACGTAGCACCTGCTAAATGTAGCCGTCGTGGACATTATTACAATATTGTTGAAGTGCTTGCAAAAGCAAAATGACAACGGACTCTTGATTGTCAAGTTTAATGCCTCGTCCTGTTTGAACGTTATTTTTATACATCATGCTCCTCCAGCTTGTTGATCTTATAGATCTAAGTTGCACCATCTAATGACTACAAAAATGTGCAGCATTTTGTGTTAAAACCTCTTTTTTAACAAATCTTGTAGATTAAATATTTTGAAAAAACACTGAAATACAGATCTTCAAATTATTATTTTGATATTATGCTTTCTACATAAATATTTTTGTAATAATTTTAATTTATCTGTGTTATATGTGTGATTTATTTTTTCAGGAACTAACAGAAAAGTCTGGAGGACTACTGTCAGAGAAGAACACCCTGCACCCCTCAGGAGGTGGCTGTACTTACTGAGAGTGTCCTAGCTATGATTCTGAAAGACATGAGGCCACTTGCTGTGGTTGGGGGTGAAGGATTCAAAGAAATGCTGACCACTTTTCAACCAGGTTACACTCTGCCTTCTAGGCGCCATTTTACAAGCAAGATGGAGAGAAAATATCAAACTTCAGTTGAGAAACTAAGGAGCGAACTAAAAAAGGCCTCATCCAAAATTTCTTTTACCACTGATGCTTGGACAAGTCTAGTCACAGAGTCCTATTTAGGAGTAACTTGTCATTTCATCAATGACAACTGGGATCTTCTCTCCTTCAATTTAACAACACTCCCAGTTGAAGAGCGCCACACTGCAGAAAACCTTGCCTCCTGGGTGGAGAAGGTGGCAGAAAAATTCCACATTTCCTTGCATAATGTCCTTGCCATTGTGCATGATAATGCAAGTAACATGGTTGCAGCTCTCCACATCCTGGAAGAGAAGTTTGGAGTGGTATCCTATCGGTGTGCTAGGAATACACTGCAACTGGTTGTAAACCATGCACTGAAAGACCCCAAGATTGATAAGGCACTATCAGCTGCACGGGGCCTCGTAAAGCACATCAAGAAAAGTGAGCCAGCTAGCATCAAGCTTAAGGAGAAGCAAAAACAGATGGGTACAGCTGAGCATAAACTAATCCAGGATGTAGCTGTCAGGTGGAACAGCTCATACTACATGATTGAACGTTTGTTGGAACAGAGATGGCCAGTAGTTGCGACGCTTTCAGATCCAGAAGTCACACAGCGTGGGAAACAGTACCTGGATCTCAAAAATGATCAGTGGATTCTTCTGGGTGAGTTGAAGGTGGTACTCAAGCCTTATGAGCAAGCCACTAATGTTCTTAGTGGACAATCTTATGTCACAGCCTCTGTTCTCCCCCCACTGCTGAAGGGTCTTCTAAAATCCACTCAAAACAAATCCTTCGATTCTGCTGCAGTGAACATTTTCCAGAACAGTGCAGAAGAGGAAATCATGTCAAGGTGGCAGCCAGAGGTATCTGCATTTCAAGAAGATGGGAAAAATGTGTCACTCATTGCTGCTGCCCTCGATCCACGTTTTCGTAAACTGAAATTTCTTTCTCCAGAGGACGCTCTGAAACTGCAAGTAAGAGTACAGAAGGATGCACTTGACCTCAAAAGGGAGCAGAGATCACAGCTTCAGCAGGCAACTGTGGGGCAGGAAGCCTCAGCAAGTCCCCCAACAAAGAAGATGTCTGTGTTGGACACTTTGTTGGGTACAGATTCTGAGGAGGAAGATTGTAATGAAAACAATGACCAGGGTGGGGACGGAGAAAATGAGACAGTGAGGAACGAAGTACTGTTGTACTTTGGGGAAGCACCTATTCCAAGCATAGACTGTACATACTGGACAAACGGATTCCATTGGCTTCAATAACACGTTTGTTGTCTATAATGGGAGGTGGCCACCACCGCCATTTTGACCGTGTCACAGGTTCCGTCCAGCCCAGACAATTCCATAAAAGGGAAGAGAGGAGGCGCTGAGGGTGTGGCTGTAAGGCTGGGCTCGAGTGACGACACCCAGGCGAACTAGCTACGAGCTAACCTGAAGCTAACCCTGGCTAACCCAAAGCTAAAGCGGAGGTAGGAGCCGAGCTAACGGATGTAGCCACCTAGCTTCAACCCAACCGGAGCTAACTGGAACACCCATCGACCTGAACCTTACACGGAGTTTAGGTGGAGGTTTTCTGCGCCTGTTCGTGAGAAGTACCTGTATTAAAAAGTTTTAAATCGGTAAGTTTATAATTTATTTCCGTAATGAAAACATTTTGCTTTGAGCAAGTTTTCAGTACAGTTTTTTTCGGCGCTATCGCTCCTGAGTCGCACCAGCCATTAAATGTATCATGAAGAAGAGAAAATATATTTAAGTCGTATTTTGGGGGACATTTTATTATCTTTCTTACAAAATCTGAGACCAAGCGTTTCACATTGCAACACAAGCACCGGTAACCATAACAGAATGAACAACAGCCAGCAGAGGAGAGGATGGCGGTGTTTCAAACCCTCCCGGCCGGCGAGGAGAGCTCATTCCTGGGCTGGAGCCGGCCCTCAGCACCCCGCCACAGGCTCTAACAGATGCTGGCGGTGTTTGAAACCCTTCTAGCGGGACAGGGGAACTCATTCTTGTGTGGGTCGGAGTCGGCCCGCAGCAGCGCGGTGTAGCCTACATATTTTGTTATATAAGTCGCTCCGGAGTATAAGTAGCAGGACCAGCCAGAATATGTAAAAAAGTGCGAGTTATAGTCCGGAAAATATGGCAGTTATTAGTATTCGAGCTAAATTAGCAGCGTAAATACATTTCATATATTTCCAAAATGTAATACTTGTTTGTATCTTGTACAGCCAACTAGTCTTTATTCTGGACTCAGTACAATTTACCAAAAGTAAAGAGACATTCTACAGATGAAGTAAGCACAAGATAACTTACTGGAAGACACGGGATTATCATGAGAACCAGAACAAGAGAGCCTGATAACAGTCATGTGAAAATAACAGTTAAAAAGTATGTATGTATAATAGAAATAAAAATATATTAGAATTAGTGTAACTCACTGTGATCCAAACAATAAATCAGCCATAGCTGATTAGTAAATATGACATGAGGTCTTGGAGTTTTTAATTTTCATTTTTTTCTTAGATCTGTTTAAATGTCACCATGGCAGCCTGTGTGTCTCCAACATCAGCTACACAAAGCAGCAAGTGTAAGTTCCACATACCTGTCTCACCACTTCATGTATGGTTTTGTACTTTAAACAATTATGACAAACCTGTTATTTTTTCTCCATAGCCATTTGGATAATTGGAGACAGCTATGTGAGGCGTGGTGCCCAGAGCTGCAGAGACAACCTTGGCCTCCCTGACGTCTGTGTCTCCTGGTTCGGTTGGGGTGGACCATCGACATACATACATACATGTGCCGACACTTTGCGCCCTGTTTTATAAACTGTAGTGTTAAAAATAAATGTTTTTGCTCAATTACTGGAATTTCTTTGGTTAAGACAAAAGTGAGGAATAATCATTTACAAGTTATTTGTACAACAGGCCCATTTTAAATCCCAACAGTTTCTTAGCAGACAATAGAAATGTGTTCTTTACTAACTTTACTTGGTTTAAAAATCTTACTAAAATAAACAGAGTGCCGTATTGCAAAACCCAATCATACTTGTTATGTAAACATTAGCTTTGTAGATATTTTTTACAGATATATATTTGTGTGCAACAAATCCAAACTTAAATAATTTGTCATTCTTTATTGAAAAACAACAAAATACAGTTATACAGAAGTGTGGGAAAATAATGTGAAAGTATTGCTATTTAAATGTAATCCTATTTATCTTTAAAAAGAAAAACTCTAAAAATGTCCTGTACAGCATCATGACAGAAGAATGGTGGTCTGTCTGTCAGAATGTGCTGAACAGATTTGCTCTTTGAAGAGGAGTGTCATGTTTGGAGGAAGGTACTTAACCCAAGACATGCAGAATACAACACTGACCAAAAACTGATGGAAAAAATGATTTATTTATGAGGAGGAACTTAAGGTGCACAGATAAGTCTGTGGTTGGAACTGCAACAACAGCTCAGCGTCTGGAGGACGGAGAACACAGGTGAGCTTAGGTTCTGGTTTCAAAATCCATTGTAGGCAGGCAGAGGTGTTCAGCAGACTTACTGTGGTGGGTGTACGTGCTGGCTGGAGGAGGGAGAGGTAGAGAGCCGGGGGAAGCGCAGGAGAGGGAGCAGAGGTGGAGAGAAGCGGGGCGTCCTGGTGGATGGGGCACTGGGTGAGATGAGAGGTGGGTTATGGAGGGTGGTGATAAGGTCCGTGTCTTGAATATCCAAATCCTGGAGTAGAGGTCAGTATCCAATGAGGTCGACAGGAATCCTGAAGAATGGTAAATCCAATATAAGAGCAAAAACACTACGACATAACATTAATCCTAGGAACACTAGAGGTAACACGAGTGGCTGGTTACTACCAAAACTGAGGCAATCTTCTGGCGTCAAATTGTGTTCTCCATCCACCTTAAATAGGAAAGCACCCCGCTGATTGCTGATCAGGAATGGCTGGGGTGGAGGCACCAGAACCATGAAGAACGTGTCTCCAGAGACAACCTGGGTCCTGGTACCGATCAGGAAGCGGACCTTATCACCCAGAGCTGCCAGGTCACGCTCAAAGCCTTCATGTTCACGCTGCAGAGCCTGAACGCTGGCCAGGTCGTGGCCGTAGTTGTCTGTGTTCAGGGCCTGGTTCTTCTCCTCGATCCACTCTTTGGTCTCATCAGCGTCTCTGAGAAGACATCAGAACTCCGTCTGAGTGTGGGTCCAAACTCTACTGACCCGTAAGCGGCGCATAAGTGTGCGGGGTACCTGTGGAAGCGCTGCACCTCATGGGCGCTGCCCAGCATGTTGCTCCGGTCTTCAGCCAGCTGTTGCAGCGAGCGCCAGCGGTTGTTCAGCTCCTGGAGAGAAACCAAACCCAGTGAGATGAAGGTGGACGCCAGCGGGCTGGACGCCGGACGAGGAAACCTGGAGACGGATCGCTCAGACAGGAAGGGAAGAGCTTCCTCTTACCTTGATGGAATTCAAGTTAGCCGTCGTCTGAACGCCCAACCGTACGGTCTGAGGTCAAAGGTCACAGGAAACACACACCAGTCAGCAGTCATACAGATGCATAAAGATAACTGTAGCCATGGCAACCAGCTGACATGTCCCCACTTTCACCAGCACCTGGTGCCTGCCGGGTCACCTGAATTCCTGTGTGATGTCAGCACGGTCGGCCGTGACTGCGGCCATCAGAGGTTACCTCTGATCAGCTGAATGAACTCACCTTCTAGGGTGACGCCGTCTTACCCCGGGTTTCCATGGGAGCCGTCAGCAGCACGTTACTGCAGCAGCTTGTCTTGCTCGCGTAAGCTGCTGCTTGGCCCTTCCCACGAGACGCGAAGCAGCAGGGGAGCAGCTGTCACCGACCGAGCACGAAGTCACACGAGTGACTTTGTCAGTAAACACAACAACAAGCAGGAGAAAACTACAACATGGTTTGTGTTTTATGTTCTGTCCGTTTTATAATCGCCAATACGGACCTGAAAAACAAAGGAGACCGCTAGCTAGGTGATAACTTCTCACGGGGACACACAGTTAGTAACTTTTTTTAAAAGTAAAGCAACCGGAAGGCAGTATGTTCTTTATTCTGAAAATCTCGGTAGATTCTCTCAATTTCCGCGTCCGATTTCCTGTCTTTCCTTCCCCAAAAATGTCGAACTTGACCCGTTTCAGAGGCGTCGCGCGTAGAAAATAGAACCGGCGCGTAAAGGCCGCGACATGCTGCTCCTGAGACGCGGCCGACTCGCGCTGCTGACGGCTCCAGTGGAAAAGGTTCTGTTGACCACAGCGGTTCCTATCAGCAGCTATGACGTGCTGCTGCAGTAACGTGCTGCTGACGACTCCTGTGGAAAGCCGGGGTTAGAGTCGGCTTCATCCTGTAAACAAACAAATGAGTGGTAACAAAAACACCACGTCTGGTTCTGGTGGAGGCGAAGGACAACACGCACCTTTCCAGGAGCAGAACCCAGATGTTCTTGTTGCTACAAACAGAGACGAGCAGAGTTAAACCAGGAAGTGAGAGGGACCAGCTGCTGCAGACAGGTGACGCTCACCTGAGCCTGAACCATAGGAGCCTCCTCAGCCATCAGACCTTCTGACTCCAGTTCAGATGCCACCTTGTTGATGTCCCTCAGGCGGGACTCGTTGGCCTTCAGGTCCTGCAGGACAAAAGCACCTGCTGATTATCACCTGAGCTGATCTGACAGCTGCTGCTGGAAGACGGAGAGGAGGAAAAGTCCGACCTTCTGGAAGTCGTCAAACTTCTTCTGCAAGACCTCGACCTGCTCCAGGTCCGACCCGTCTCTCCATCCTCATTCAGCTAAAGACGCGAGTTCAAGTAAAACAACCTAAAGTCACACAAACACAAAGCAGGTGTGGAGATGTTCGCTCTGAGCTGGAGGTCGTTCCTCGGCTGTGAAGGGCACACGAACCTTGTTGGTGCTGTTGAGCAGCGTGAGGATGTCGCCCTTCTTCATGGTGACCTTTCGAGGACTCTTCTCCTGGTAGTCGTACAGAGCCAGAACCAGCTCCTTCCCGGTCTCATCGTCAGTTGGAGCCACTTGTTGCTGTCGGGTTAACAGGTCTGGTGTTAGAACGTGGTGGATAAGAATGTTCTGACGGGCCGAGGGTTCTGAACCAGCGAAGTGACCTGGACCCAAACAAAGTGAGCCAGAACCTGCAGACACCTCAGAAACATGTCAGGACCAGACCTGCTCTACCTTCCTCCACTATGGTCTCTCCTTTCTGGGTGACAGCCTTGATGCGAGGTTCATGACCTGTGATCTCAGCCTGCAGAGCCTGGTGCTTCTTCAGCAGGTTCTGGACACCAATCAGGTCCTTCCCTGAGGACACATGTTAGAGTTCAGCATTATGCAGTAGAAAGACCAGTTTAACCTAGGGGTTTCTTTCTTCTACAATCTGCTCTTTAACTGTATTATTTCCTGCTATTTCAGCTGTTAACTTTATTTTTTCTCTAAGTGTTTTTCTCCCCAGAAGAAGCTACAACGATGTTCTGCTGAGCTGTGGTGGCCTCATGGAGGGGGCCATCGTCTAGCACACTGCTGCTAACCACTTAATCATTCTCCCTCTCCTGATAATAACATTTTACTTTCTTTGATGTTGGATGTACTACTGCTAGTTTACCCGTTTAATTATAGATTCACTAGGATAAATACAATAAAATTTATCTCTCGCCAAATAGAATATTGACTAAGAAATCACAATGTAACGTGTGTGTGTGTGTGTGTGTGTGTGTGTGTGTGTGTGTGTGTGTGTAAAAGCCATGTGTAGTGTTTATTTATAAAGCATATGTTGTTGGATTTTATCCAGAATCGAGACTTTGAAAATATGTAGTTTAATTACAGTTTGATTTATTTGACATCTGTATAATGTTTATTATTTTGTTTTTTCCCCCTAAATACCTAACGTTTGAGTTTAACATGAATATCAGTCATTCATCCCAATACATGAAGTTACACATTTTAAATTTTAATAGGGGAAGACTGCAGGAGGGAGCGGTAAAATCATAGACTGTACATACTTGCTACCCGCCGGCTGTGATCACAAGCGACAACATATTAGTTCCCGCTGCTTCTTCGGTAAACAGCGCAAACAAAAACAAAGAAACTTGGGATCTTGTCAGCGTGGCGGTGGGATTTAAGGGAAACGCTGTATGCCCTATAGACATCTCACCGAGCTGCAGTATTTCTCCGGTCAGATCTGTCTCTGAGAGCTCCACGAGCGGTCAGCCCGCGCAGAAACTAGCCGCCGCACCGGTCAGGCTGCCTGGCCTGACCGCTGGGGATTACCGGATGGAAGAATGGACACAGGTGTCACTCCAAGCCTGCTGGAGATTTTAAGGGTTCAGATGAAAACACCCTACCACTCAGGCTGCATACACATCGATATTAAGTTGTCGCTGTTGCGCTCACGCCGTAATACAGTATTAGATGCGGTTAAAGTCAGACATGAAAAACTCCACGAGCGGTCAGACAGCGCAGCAGCTAGGCGCAGCAAGTAGGCGCCGGATCGGTCAGGCTGCCATGGTGGAAGAATAATGCTACAAGATTCCCCACACTGGCTACTTTAGCCAAATCATATCTGGCTGTACCTGCCACATCAACACCCTCTGAAAGGCTTTTTTCTGTTGCTGGAAACATTGTCACCAAAAAAAGGGCAAGCCTGACTGCTGAGCATGTAGAAATGCTAACATTCCTTCACACCAATGCATAACTGCTTCATGTGATGAATATGATTGGACACACACACACACACACACACACACACACACACACACACACACACACACACACACACACACACACACTCACACACACACACACAGAGAGAGAGAGAGAAACAAGAGAGAAGGCAGCAAAATGGATGTTATTTTTTTAAAAAGCACTTTTTTTGCAGAGAGCAAAGTGAATGTTATATTTTTTTTGTTCAAAGACACCATTGCTGCTGTTTATTTTATTTATTTTTTGTTGTTTTGCACAACATTTAATTTCTTGTTAAATGCTACCTCTAAAATAAGATTGTACTACTATTCTATTTTGGATTTTTTTTAATGAAAACAACAATGCATAACTACTTCATGTGATGAACAAAAGAAAAGGCAAAATTTTTTTTTTTTGAAAATGAACAACACTTTTTTGCAGAAAGCGAAGTGAATGTTAGATTTTGTTTGTTAAAAGACGCCATTGCTGCTATTTATATATTTTTTGTTATAAAATTTCCTTGATTTATATGAATATTTTGCACAACATTTAAGTTTTTGTTAAATGTTATCTCTAACATAAGATTGTACTACTATTGCAACATTTTTATTTTAGAATTTATTTTATTAAAATGTGTTCAAATGAAGAAATTTGCATTTATTTCATTGAGATACATAAATTAGTAATAATCAAACTTTTATACAAGTCAAATAATTGGGAAATAATCAATAATTTAATAGTTTCCTCAATTGTGTATGGTATTTATTTTAAACGCTTTTATTACGATTCTTAGTGGGCTTCCTAAACTTATTTAGGCGTGGCTTTTCTGTCTTATTACTCATAGCGACAAGTGAACATCACATAAAACGTTGCCTCGTGATTTCTGCATGCTGCCGTTTACGTGTTTTATGATCACAGCAATTAACCGTCTAAGCTGTATTTCATTTTTAAGCAGTGGTTGATCAATTGTCAGATCACACATAAAAAGCACTTTGGATTGCTATTATCTGTCTCACCGAGACAGATCTCAGACAGATCCTGAGACGCTCCTGCCTGACTTATTTATTTTATTCACGGAAAAAAAAAATCAAACTAGTGATTTCTCTTGGCGTTCAGTTTATACATTCAAACAGCACAGCACTCTATTTAAACTACTTACATGTAAATCTGTTATTTGTCCATCCATCCATTTTCATCCGCTTATCCGGAGTGGGGTTACGGGGTAGTAGCGTCTAGAGGCCCTGACTTCCCTCTCCCCAGCTGCCGGAGCCAGCTCCTCCGGGTAAATCCCAAGGGGTTCCCCGGCCAGGTCCAGTAAGAAGTCTGCTCCGACAGCTTCTGGCGTTTTTAAAAAGTATCCCAGGGGCACGGTGGTCGGAGATGTTTAGTCTATTTAATTTCTGACTATATAAAACGATTTCTTCGGTTTTAAAGTGTGAAGTAAACTCCGACGAAGTAAAATCCAAGCGGATCCCGTTCACGTTCATGGTTACATCCGTGCTTGTTTACCTTTTTTTTTCCTGCCAAAATGGCGTCTACTAACTGAGAGTCACGAGGGGTCCGGAGCTCTATATAACTATTTCATATGTTAACAACGCTGATAGATTTTTTTTCACTAATATTTATCTTTGTGTGGCAAGGTGGAGAAACGAGGGCCCAGGCGGAATTCGATCCCCAGACTCCCGGGTGAGAGTCATACGCTCTAACCAGTCAGCCAAAGGGGACATCCCCTTGGCCAAGTAGCCAGGGCGCATGATCAATCGGGACACTGTGACAGGATGCTCACACTGTCACATGTTGTTGTTTATTGACAGCTAACAGATAAACACAACTGTGGTCAACGGGGGGTGGGTGTGTGTGTATGTGTGGGTGGGGGGCTTCTTGCTCTGCAGCCTGGGGCTGGTGAGTGGCGGTGTGGGTGTAGGCACGTGACATCACTCTGCAATGGGTCTATAGGGAGCCTGAGTCTTCTCCCTTTCCGGTCGGCTCATGGGTCCCCGGAAGAACGAAAAAATGAATGCAAGTCAACGGGGCGAAAAAGAGCCATGTTATAATCTGCTTTGCCTTAGACCCTGGCTCACACACATGTTGTACTGCAATTTAAATGAAAACTAATGATGGGTGTTTTTACCATGCCTGTCACATACTATTTATCAGCTCATAAAAGTTCGTAATTAGCATGACTACAAATTATATAGCATGTTGCATATGTGACGTCACCACAGACTCTCTTCCCCTCTAGTGTAGCTGCTATTTACCAAATGACCAGATTTATGGTGGTTATTTTCCTCCTGAAGGAAAGATTTAAAGTTTGCTGAACGTCCCT